ATTTTTTAATCATTTAACTAAATTTAATTAATAATAACTTGAGCCATTAATAATTTATCAATTTTTATTATTTTTATTTGTCAGCTCTACTAGTATTAATTAATTAAATACCAGTTATTAAATACAAAATCCAAATATAATATCAAAGTTTTAATTAACTCAGAATATTAAAGAATAAGATTTAGTATTAGTATTATATATAAGAAAAATTATATGTAAAATTATTTTCCAAATTTTTTAATTAATATATTAATTTTATAAATAATTAATATATACAAATAGATTTTAAAAAGTAAATTAAGTAAATTACAAAATATAAAATATTAATAATATTTTAATTATAATAAAAATAAAAAATTAATCTTGAAATTAAGAATATATATTTTACAAAAATTTTTATAATAAAATTTTATGAGTACTTTATTAGAATATATAGAAAGTAATTATAGATAAATTATAAAATACAAACTATTTTACAAAAATTAATATTTTTAATTTTTCAAAATTAACATTTTTGAATTTTTTCATTATAAATTATTCTTGTAATTTAATTGATTTATTTTTAAAAATTATTATATAGCCAGAAAAAATAAATAATAGTTCTGATAGATTTGTATAATAATTTTATTATTAATAAATAAATATATAAAAAATTATAAATAAATTATTTATATTATTATTGTAGTTATATAAAATTTCTTAATTTTATAATTTTTCTTTGGTTATGCAAAATTTTATTTTTTCTTAATTTCATAATTTATTATATAATTATCTCTATTTTTATATAGTCACATATTTATTTTCTTTATTATAATTATCTATTATAATTATATTTCTATTTTAAATATTATATCTTATTTTCTTAAATTAAGATCTATATTTTTGATTTATATATTATATATATATTATATACTAAATAAAATAAAGTACTTAAAAATTCTTTTAATTTTTAATAAAATAATAAAATATTAATATTTATAATATTAATATTTATAATATTAATAAAATATTAATATTTTAAATATTAATATTTTAACTACTTTAAAAATTGCTAATTTTATTATCTTGAAATATTTTATAATAGTTATAAATAAATAAATTATAATTTTACTCCTAACTCAAGAAGTCTTAATAGATATCATAATATATTTTAGTAAATAAAATATTATTAATAATTAAATAAGTTGATATAATAACTAATAAAGCTACTGCTAGCAAATTCAATATTATATTTGTTATATCTTTTTAATATTTATTATATTTTTTACTATTAATTTCTCAAATACTTTGTACTAGATTTTATTTTTATTTATTTTTTAGTATTTTACATTATTTTTACTAGTTATATAAAAGAAGATTATACTAGATTTTACTTTGTAATATTCATATTACTTTTTAATATTTTATATTATTTCTATTAATTATATAAAAGAAGATTATATTAAAATTAAAATATATAAATAAGTATAATTTTATTTATATTACATATATTTTTATATATTAAATACAAATATAAATATTATATATTAAATAAATTCAAATATAAATATAATTATTATATATCAGATAAATATATTATATAGTTCTTAATTTTTTATTTTCTTCTTTTAAAATGATTAAGCTTTCAAAAATATTAAACATATTTAAGAATTTTAATAATATTTTAAGATATCTCAAATTTGATACTTTTATATTAAAGTATAATATCCTAATAAAGAGAGCAAATTTTTAAAGATGATACAAAAATTTTTTATATGATCACTAAAAAAGTTATCTTTTATATATTTAACTATCAAAAGATGAAAATTTCTGACTTATTTTTAAAAGAGTTATTTCAGTCTATAATATAAAGTTAAAGATAGCTCTCTTTAAAAAGTTTTATATTGAAACTATCTACTTTAAATATCATAAAATATATATAATACTCTTCAAATAACATATTGATATTATTTAAGATAAAATTAAGAAGTATATAAGAAATTACTTAATCTATATCTGAAATATTAGTATTAAAGAAAAAGCTAATTTGATATCTATTATAGATGATAGTCCTCTTAAATATATTTAAGTTGATTTAATTAATTTATTTTCTTTTGTTATGTATAATAATAAATATATTTATATTTTCATGATAATTAATATATTTTCATATTATATTTAAACCATTTTACTTTAAGAATAAAAAAGATAAATATAATTTATTATGAATTAATTAAAGTTTTTATAAGTTTTGATCTACTTTTAAAACTTCAAGCAGATAATAAATTAGAATTTATAACCAGGATTTTAAAATATACTTGTGAAATACTCAAAATATAACTTATTTATAATCATACCTATCATCTGTAAAATCAAAATAAAATTAAGAGATTTAATTAAATACTTGATCAATATCTAATAAAAATATTATAAAATAAAGTTTTTGAAGTTTAGGATTACTAATGAATCAATATTTTTTTTTGTAATTATCTATAATAAAACATCTCACAAAGCTCACAAAAAATTACTTTACAAAGTATTTTTTGAATTTAAAATAAAAGAAGTTTATAATATACTGAATAAAACTATATAAGCTTATAATAGATTAGACAAAATTATAAAAATCAATGATATATCAGATAAACTTATACAAGCTTATAATAGATCAGATAAAATTATAAAAATTAATAATAAGCTAGATGAAATTATATTATTCATGTATTCTAGATGAAACTATATAAATTAATAATATTCTGAATAAAATTATATAAATTGATAATATTCTGAGTAAAATAATATAAATTAATAATACTTTAAATAAAATAATATAAATTAATAATATTTTAAATAAAATAATATAATTTAATAAGACTTTAAAACAAGTTGATATTTTTGATATTAAAATTTATATCTCAGTTAAAATACAAGAGAAAAAAGATATTTTATGCAAAATAATTATTAAAGTAATATAAGAGAATAATAATCAAGTTATTATCTATAAAACTTATATAAAACAAATTAAAAAAATATAAATAAAAATTACATAAAATAATAAGTTTTATTAAAATAAAATGATGATTTGTGAAAGTATTTATAAAAAAAAATTGGCTTTTGAATCTGAAAAGAAAATTACAATTACTTTAAATCATAATACTAATTAAAAAATGAAAAAATAAAATTTAAAAACAGATATATAGTATTAATGAAAAGATTATTAATATATATAATAATAATAAAATTATAAGAATAAAAATTAATGGTAAAATAAAAATCTTTACAGTGAAGAATTTAAAGAAACTTAGATAAATAGAGTAAGTAATAATAATATATATATAAATAAAAGCCTATTATTTAATTAATAATGTATTATATTAATATATTATTAATATTTTTAATATATAAGATAACATAATAATAATAAAAATACTAAAATATATAATATTTATATATTATATGACTTGTATATAAAAAAAGATTGCTCATTTTATTTTAATCTAATTTTATTTTAATCTATCATAATAATTAATTTTTTATTATATTTAACTTTTAATATTTATATTTTTAAATAATTTAAACTTTTAAAATTATAATAAAAATAATTTATTAACTTAATAATATTCTTTAATAATAAATAAACTCAAAATTAAAAGTAAAATTCGGAATTTATTATATAATAATAACTTTAAAAATATTATAAAAGTTAAAGATACTATTATAAATATAATTAAAAAATATAAGTATATTATATTGATATTAATTTAAAACTTTTAAAAAACTAATTTTATTTAAATTAAATAAATAAAAATAATTATATTATATCAAATCACTTTAAAAAAATTAAACTTTTTTATTCTTATCTTTATTAATTACTATTGAATTTATTATCAAACTATATTTATTTTTCTTGAATAATTTTGAAAGAAATTTAATTATTTTTAATATTAGAATTATCAGAATTTAACATCTAAAAAATTAAAGATTTGATCAATTTCTTGTTAAAATATTATTCTTTATTTTGAAAAATTATTAAATATATATATTTTGATATCTTATTATTAATAGTCTTTTATAATTATAATTTAATCAATTTAAATTTAATTACTTCTAATAACTTATAATTCTCTTTTATAGTTTATAAATACTTTTGATAATTTGTAATTATATTAATAATTTGTAATTATATTAACTATTTTAAAAATCTTTTCAAATTAATAAAATAGAAAAATCTATAATTTATCATTATTATATATTATAATATGATAAATAATCTATGCAATAAAATTATTCTTAGCTTTATTTTTATTCTTTTTTAAACTTATATATAAGAAAGTACTCATTTTATTAAATTATTTAGAAATCTTTAAAATAATAATTAAAGAATACTATTTTTGTAATTTATATGTAAATAATAGGATATCAATCTCTTAATTTATATAGAAGATGATTATAACTTTTAATATTATTAAATGATTGACATACTCATATGTTATATTCTTGTTTAATTATTATATATCCAAACAAATTTTCTTAATTATATATTTCTCAAATATATAAAGAAGAAGAGATATTTTTTTAATGAAATATTTAGGATTTTTTGGATAAGTGAGATTTAGAAATACTCAAACAGAAGATAGATTATTATACTAAATATCTTAAGACCATTATTATTTACAAGACTGATCACAAATATGAAAAAACACAGGAATTACTTAACAGGTATATGAAGATGAATATATTTTTTTTAAAATATAGATAAAGAATATGTGATATGTCTAGAATTTATAAGATTCTTTGATATTCAAGATTCTAAGTCAAGTCACAAGTCAGTATTGGAGCATATATGACTTACGAGATTATTTTATATTTAAGATTATAAGCTAATCTGATACTGGATCTACTGGGGATGTATACAACTTACAAGATCATCTTACATTCAAGATTTTGAGCTGATCTGGCAGGAAGAAAAAATAGATAGGACATGTTATTAGAGAATATTATTAATTTTCTGAATTTTTTTCATTATGGATACTCGGCCAGCTCGTCAATTAGCAAGAAGTTGTGATAAAGAATGTTCTTATAAGAATAAATCAGCCGAACCTTCAGTTCACGTCCACCATCCAACGTTTATAGGAGGAGGAACTGTTAGTGGGATTATAAACTCTTATTTCCGGATCATCAGAAAGGGATCAGAAAAAAGCACAGGTATGTATTTTATCAGTAAAGATATTAAGGTTACTGCTAATACTAGTATTTTTATCAGTAATATTATTGTGCCATATTCCTGATACTGATTGTATTTCTACAGGATCCAGTTGACAAGCTCAGCGCTTTCTTCAAAGATCCCTCTGGCGTAAAGGTAACAAAATTTATTGAGAAACTTTGGGAATTAAGTGAAGACTCTAAAAAAACATTCGATGAGAAGGTTAGAGTATTTAACCTTTGCAATAAGTGAATTGATAATATTCATCGCCAATTTCTAATTGATGTGATTCTTTTCTAGGTCGAATATGAATCGCAGAACTCCCCTTCTGTATCTGACGATGACGATTCGAATTATATATGATTATCCTTTGGATGATATTCTTCAATTCTTCTTAGACTATAATTTTATTTCCTTTGTAATACAAGTGACACTGACGAATCAACTTACGAAGAATCAGCTTCTGATACTGAGGATAATATAAATGGGAAGGATCCCCCAAAATTGACAAGACGGCTTTTTGTAAGGCCTATTATGCTATCCCAAACTCTAGCAAAGTTGCAGTTGAGCACAGGCAGGATAGTGGAAGACGTTCTTTTTGAATTTGCTAAAGACATGGACTATGAACAGAGCATGAGAAAGGATATAAAAGTAAAGAATTCTAAATTATATTTCAGCTTGCTTATTGTAATTATCATGTACAAAGGCAATCCCGTTATAACGAACCCTGTTTAACCGAAGCACTAATTACAACCAAAGATGGCGCCAGGATCAGTTCTAGTAAATCTACCCCGTTAAAACGAATTTACTAATGAAATCTTGGATAAACCGAATTTTTACTATTAGCACCGACCACTTTGGTATAACGGGGTTGCCTTTGTATAATGAATATTGAGTGATGTTACATATTCACTTAGATTTTCAATCACTTTTTTCATTTCTTTGTGTCGGGATTTGTTTTGCCGGGTTGATCAAAAAATTTATGCATTTTATTAGTTGTTTTATCTAATCAGCGATTGATTTTTCATTGTCCAATCAAAGCTTGGAGGGAAATTAGTAAATGCCAATTTTATAAATAGTCAAATTTTCAGCATCTGAAATTGCATATAATATATTATTTAAAATGATAATTCTTAAAATTCAGCAGTGATGCGGTTTTTGAGCCATTGCATCATATAATTGGCTTAGATTGATCACTGAACATAGGAACATCACTTTTTAATTATCTATTGCGGAGGTTTACTCTCATAATACTACCGGACCAATTGAATTGCTTCCATTACATTACTATAATACTTTGTAAGAATTTTGCTCTTAATAATATTGTTGTGTATACCGTAATTCGTCGCATAAACCACCCGGTGATGGTTTTCCAGACTATACTATGTTTGGCTAGAATTACAAAGAGGGGGTTACATTACAATTTACCAAATTCATTCCTAGTATCAGTCCCAAATGATGAGGGTTTACAATGATAGAGATGGTTTATGCGGCGAATTACGGTTGGTAAACAATGCAATATTAATAATTAAATCTCTATTTGCTATTTATTTTACTGATTGTTATTTTTAATT